ACAAGGACCACCGATTAGATATTGTCGTTGTAAACAATGATACTGGTACCATTGATATTCTTGTTGGACGTTACGAAGGCTTTCAAAATCAAATAGGATATTCAGTTGGCTCTTTTCCATCATCTGTAGCTATTGGTGATGTTAACAACGACACTCTACTAGATATCGTTGTTGCCAATTCGTGGAGCAATGATGTGAGTATCCTTCTTGGGTATGGAAACGGTTCTTTTGAAAATCAAACATGGTATTCAGTTGGCTCTTATCCACAATCTGTAGCTATTGGTGATGTCAACAATGACACTCGACTAGATATCGTTGTCGCCAATTCGGAGAGCAATGATGTGAGTGTCCTTCTTGGATATGGAAACGGTTCTTTTGAAAATCAAAAAAGATATTCAGTTGGCTCTAATCCAACATCTGTAGCTATTGGTGATGTCAACAATGACACTCGACTAGATATCGTTGTTGCCAATGCGGGTAGCAATGATGTGAGTGTTCTTCTTGGATATGGAAACGGTTCTTTTGAAAATCAAATAAAGTATTCAGTTGGCTCTTTTCCACGATCTGTATCTATTGGTGATGTCAACAACGACACTCGACTAGATATCGTTGTTGCCAATTCGTGGAGCAATGATGTGAGTGTCCTTCTTGGATATGGAAATGGTTCTTTTGAAAATCAAACAAGATATTCAGTTGGCTCTTCTCCACAATCTGTATCTATTGGTGATGTCAACAATGACACTCGACTAGATATCGTTGTTGCCAATGTGGGTAATAATGATGTGAGTGTCCTTCTTGGATATGGAAACGGTTCTTTTGAAAATCAACAAAGATATTCAGTTGGTTCTTCTCCATCATCTGTAGCTATTGGTGATGTTAACAACGACACTCGACTAGATATCGTTGTTGCCAATGTGGATACCAATGATGTGAGTGTCCTTCTTGGATATGGAAACGGTTCTTTTGAAAATCAAACAAGGTATTCAGCTAGCTCTTCTCCATCTTCTGTAGCTATTGGTGATGTCAACAACGACACTCGACTAGATATCGTTGTCCCCAATATGAATAGGGATGATATGAGTGTCCTGCTGCAATATAACAGAGGAGCGATTACATATGAAATGAGCTTGGCACCTGGTGGTGGTTCTAGCCTACGATGTGTAGTCATTGGTGATTTGAACAATGACACTAATCTGGATATCGTCTTAGCTAATTACGGCACTAATAATTTAGGTGTTCTTTTCGGATACGGGAATGGTAGTTTTGAAAATCAAATGATGCTCAGCACTGGCATGAATTCTCATCCGATTTCTATCGCAGTTGGAGACTTCAATGGTGACCGTGAAGTGGATATTGCTGTGGCCAATCATGGTACAAAGCATGTAGATATGATGCTTGGAAATGGACAGGGAAAATTTGCAATTCAAACAAGTTATGAAATTGGCTTTGATACACCTCCGTTAGTTATGGTTTCTGGTGATTTTAACAATGACGCACGATCGGAGATCGCTGTCACTTACGATGGACGTGATCATGTGGATATCTTTGTTGCGTATAATCATGGTTCTTTTGAAACTGGAACAAGGTATTCAGTTGGCTCTCGGCCACAATCTGTATCTATTGGTGATGTCAACAACGACACTCGACTAGATATCGTTGTCGCCAATTGGGAGAGCAATGATGTGATTATCCTTCTTGGATATGGAAATGGTTCTTTTGAAAATCAAACAAGGTATTCAGTTGGCTCTTCTCCACGATCTGTAACTATTGGTGATGTCAACAATGACACTCGACTAGATATCATTGTCGCCAATGGGGGTAGCAATGATGTGAGTATCCTTCTTGGATATGGAAACGGTTCTTTTGAAAATCAAACAAAGTATTCAGTTGGCTCTTCTCCATCATCTGTATCTATTGGTGATGTTAACAACGACACTCGACTAGATATCGTTGTCGCCAATTGGTTGAGCGATGATGTGAGTGTCCTTCTTGGATATGGAAACGGTTCTTTTGAAAATCAAACAAGATATTCAGTTGGCTTTTATCCATCATCTGTAGCTATTGGTGATGTCAACAATGACACTCGACTAGATATCGTTGTTGCCAATACGGGTAAGGATGATGTGAGTATCCTTCTTGGATATGGAAACGGTTCTTTTGAAACTGAAACAAGGTATTCAGTTGGCCCTTATCCACAATCTGTAGCTATTGGTGATGTCAACAATGACACTCGACTAGATATCGTTGTCGCCAATTCGGAGAGCAATGATGTGAGTGTCCTTCTTGGATATGGAAACGGTTCTTTTGAAAATCAAAAAAGATATTCAGTTGGTTCTTCTCCATCATCTGTATCTATTGGTGATGTTAACAACGACACTCGACTAGATATCGTTGTCGCCAATTGGTTGAGCGATGATGTGAGTGTCCTTCTTGGATATGGAAACGGTTCTTTTGAAAATCAAACAAGGTATTCAGCTAGCTCTTCTCCATCTTCTGTAGCTATTGGTGATTTCAACAATGACACTCGACTAGATATCGTTGTTGTCAATGTGCGCGGCAATGATGTGAGTGTCCTTCTTGGCTATGACAATATAGTCTTTGTAAAGAAAATGATACTAGTAACTGGAAATGATTCGCGACCACAGTCATTAGTTATTAGCGATTTTAACAATGATGATCTAATGGATATTGGCGTCATTAATACATGCACCCACAATATTGATATTTTTCTTGGGTATGGAAATATCTCTTTTGCAAATCAAATGACATATTCAACACACCCATATTTATCTCCATGCTCTATGGCTGTCGGTGATTTCAACAATGATAGTCGAGTGGATATCGTCTTTGTTAGTTGTAAATCGAACAGTGTTGGTATTATTCTTGGATATGGGAATGGTTCTTTTGGAAATCAAATGATGTATTCAATAAGCTCAAGTTCGTCTCGATATTCTTTAGCTGTAAATGACATTAATAACGACACTATACAAGACATTGTCGTCGCGAATTATGATGCCAATTATCTAGATGTACTTGTTGGACATGGCGACGGCACTTTCGAAAGCATTATGCTAGTTCAGTTGGGCTATGGTTCCAATCCATTCTTCATTGCCATTGGAGATTTCAATAATGATAAAAAACTAGATTTTGTCGTCGCCAATAATGGTACTGACAGTTTAAATATTCTCTTGCAGACTTGTTAATAATTTTATCTTGTACTTTATATTTTTCTATCACTTACTTATTTCGTATGCTCTCATATTTAATAGAATCATAGTTGAAATATTCAAATTTTTCTTGGTGTGAAAGATGAGTGTGGAAAGCTTGAGTTTGGTTGTGGATTCCTGATGATGAAAGCCTTAGTGTATGGTTGAGAGTATGAATGATTGTCTGCCAGTATTGATCTGATTGTAGTAGAAAAGCGTCTAGATCCATACTCGCATACCACAAAAATGGTTTTTTTTGTATCAATGACAAGTGTCATGATGAAACCTATCGCAACGATGAAATTGATTACTACGTCGAATATTCAAGTTTATCGAGCTTTTTAAGAACCATTGTCTCGTGAAATGCAATCGTACTGTATGTACTTAGAGATCAACTCTTGCTTCATAGTAACCTAGTTCAGTGTGATTCTATGAATATCATCAAATTACTATCATCTATTAGTTACATTCCTTGCTTGCTAATGATGATTATCAATACCATAATGTCAATATGTGCAAGAGAAACGATAGTTTCTTGGGTGTGGGAAATTAAAAGTTCAACCTGCAGTTATGTTCACTGAAGGATGTTTGTGTGGATACCGAATGGTGGATGAGATTCTTCACCACACCCGCTAATCCATGCACAATTGAACATCGATCAATTTCAGTGATGATCACGTTGTTCTGTTGAATAATATAGGTAAACTACTCTACTGACGGTGTGGGTGTGTGAGTGTGGGCACTGGGTTGAGAATAACACACTCACACCCAAATCGTCTTGATCAACTGCCTTGCCCACAACACGTATTCGTCGATCGAAATCATTCAGTGTACGTGTCTGATTCGGGAAATGATCATATGATGAAATGGATGGAAGATGTAAAAGAAAGGCAATGTCATGACTGGTAGTCAAGGAGAAAGAAATGATTTTACACAATTATCATATTCAAAAGGACTCGTTGTCGATCAATTGGACACTGTCTATGTGCCTGATACAAGGAATGATCAAATCATAGATTGGCCCAAAGGAGCGACACAGGGAAGTGTCATTGTTGGTAGAAACGGTAGAGTAGGACAATTCAACCAACTCAATGAGCTCATCGATTTGTCATTCGATTGACACGACAATCTCTATGCCATCGATTGGGGAAATCATCGGGTATAAAAATTCAATATAGAATCCAAGAAGTGAAGGACTAGAAAGCCAAAGAAAACCGTTTTTTTTTGTGTGGTATACGCTCCAGACAATATACAAATGGGTGCCCTACCGAAATTCTAGGAATCCTTGAAAAATTATAATAAAATGTACTCTACTAATAATGAACAAAATATCTGACCAGATTCAGTAAGACCCAACGCCATTTGTATGCAATGAATCCGAAATCTTAGAAACCTTGAAAAATTTCAACATATTCTGTTCATTAAAAATGAATCAAAGTCATTACGAAAGTTTGTATTTAGATGTTCCTGATTGTGCCTGAGCACTGTCCAACGCTCAAAAAACTATAGGTTCTCTGAAAATCTTCGTTTCTTGCATTGGTAGCGCCACTTCCGAAATGTATGAGAAACCTTCGAACCCTTGAACACGATCATTCTGGCAACAGCTTCCACCATTGAAAATGTCAAGGAATCCTTAAATTCCTTGAAAATTCTAGCACAACCCACTTACAACATCAACAAAATATCTGACTAAACCCAGTATGACCCTACACTGCTGGTACGCAAGGTTTCTGAAATCTTGGAAACCTTGAAAAATTTCGATATATACTATTCATTAAAATACAATCAAAGTGATTAAGAAACTTGGTTTTTTCAGGTTTCTGATGGTTTCTGCAATACGCCAACGTCTGCGAAACCAATAGTTCTCTGAAAATTCTTAGTTTTTGTATTAAGTTTAACCGAACAAAATGCGATGAAATCCTTCAGATCCTTGGATTTCTTCACTTTACCACCAATCCTGATCGGTTAAAGTGCCAAGGAATCCTTGGATCCTGGTATTTCTTTGGTTTCCTATAACTCTTGACTGCTCAGAGCGCTAGGCAATCCTTGAAATCCTTGGAATCCTTCGGTTGGTTAGCTTCGCCACAACTTCTGACTTCAGAAAGTTTTCGGGATTCCTTAGATTTCTTAGCTTTCCCACCGTTCTTTACTGTTCCAAGTGCTATGGTATTGTTGGAATCCTTGGATTCCTTAACTTTTCCAACATTTTTGACTGTTGCAAGAGATAGGGAATCCTTCGAATCATTGGATTCCTTCTTTTCTCCAACACGTAGACTGTTGAAAGTGTTCGGAAATCCTTGGAAACTTGGATTCCTTAGCTTTCCGACCATGTTCGATGGTTCCAAGGATGTGAAATGCTAGGAATTATTGGATTACTGATTGTCTGGCCATTCATGACTGCCCCAAGTGCTATGAAATCTTTGAATTCCTCGAGTTGCTTATGTCTCCGACCATTCTCGAGTCTCACAAGTGGTATGGAATCCTTAGATTCCTTGGAGTCTTTAGCTTCCCAGCATCTTCACTAGCCACAGATGGTGGAGAATAATTGTGATCGTTTGTTCCCTAACCTCTCGATCATCGTTGAGTGTCTCAAGTAGTATGAAATTGTTGAATTTCTTAGGTTTCCCAACAATTCTGAGTATTCAAAGTGCTAAGGAATCCTTAGAAACGTTGTATCCATTAGCTTCATTTGGATTCTGAAGTATCAGAAGTGCTATGGAACCATTGGATGGCTTCGATTCCTTAGCTTTCAGTTGATCGTGGACTACCACAAGTTGCAGGGAATTTTTGGTATTCTTGGATTTCTTTGCGTTCCGACCTGTCTTGACTATCCAAAGTGTGGCGCAATCCTCGGATGTTTTAACTTTCAGACTATACTTGACTCCCTTATGTAGCGCTGAATCATTGAATTTCTTCACTTCATCATCATTCTTGAGTGTTCCAAGGACAATTGAATCCTTAGAATCGCTGGAAACCTTTGATTTCTTCTCCTGCCCACCATTCTCAACCGTTGCAGATGCTATGAAATCCTCATAGTCGTTGGATTCTTTCTCTTTCAGACCATGGTCGACTTGCACAAGTAGCAGGAAATCATTGGAATTTTTGGGTTCTTTAGTTTCATAACCATCGGCGAGTGTCGCAAGTGCAGTAGAATCCTTGGATTTCTTAGCTTTCCGACCATTCTTAGCTGTCCCAAGAGCCATGGAATCCTTGGATTTCTTGAGTTTTCGGGGATGCTTCACTGGCGTAAGTTGCAGGAAATCCTTGTAATCCATGGATTCCTTAGCTTCCCAACCATTATTAAGTGTTCACAGTGCAATGTAATCCTAGAATTGCTTGGAATTCTTTGATTTCGTATGTCTTCAACCATTCTTGACTGTCGTAAGTGCTGACAGAGATGGAATCGCTATCAGTATTGTTCGTCAAAAATTCAGATCGGTTCCATCTTTGAGTGCTGGATAGTCAGTGGAATCTTTGCCATTCCTTGATCTCATCGCTTAGATGGTATTTTTGACTTACGAAAATTCCATGAAAGGGCTCGAATTTTTCGATACCTCAACTTTTTCGGCACCGTGCTGAGTGAAATATCCAGCGGAACGCTTCGTGTTCTTGGATTTCATAGCTTGCATATAATGCTTGGTGTTCCCTTATGAATAGGGAATCTTGAATTTCTTGCATTTTTTATTGCTCCAATGATCTTGCATTGTCTCGGATGGATTCTATGCCTTTGAGTTAGTGAATTTCATAGATTTCTATGGGTGGTTAGTGATCTAAATGTATTGGAAGGCTTGGAGTCGTTTGAGTACTTACTTTCCTCATTATGCTCGAGATTCCTAAAGGTCGGATTGGTTTGAAATTATTAGATTTTTTCACTCGCTTTCTACTCTTGGTTTCCGAAAATATATGGGACGACTGGGAATTATTTCATTTCTCTGCTATATGATCATGCGAGATGATCCAATATGCCTTGGAACGCCTGTAGTTCTTAGGCTTCTTCCATTGGTCTGTGGAGATGACATTCATATATGTTTGAGAACTCTTGGATTTGTCAGTTTCGCGAGGAGCCTTGCATAATTTAATAGTGTGGCGTACTTGTACTGCTTTCCTTTCTTGCTTGTCTGATCATGGATGCCCGTCATAAATGAGTTCTAATCCTCGAAGTACTCTGTTTTCTTGAATTCTTGTAGAGCCTTCACATAAGTGACTTGGCTGGAATAGTGGGATTTCTTCAAGTTGTTAGATCCTTGATTATTTCTTTCATGATTGAATTGCCTGAATTGAATTGTGTTCTTGGATTAGCTCGTGTAATCAATGTCGTTGGCAGCCTCTAGTTGTTAATGTAAAATATGTGTTTGAATGGGAATGTAGGCGAAGGTGTGTATGTTGGTGCGGTTTGCTATGCATCTCGAGTTCGATGATTATTCGTTTCGCTTAGAGTTTTGATATGAGTGGATTTACGTGCTTGTTACCGTATCTGATGCTATGAATGAGTAGTATTATTGAAGCCAGTCGTAGTTTTTTCTATGGGATGGGTCGGATCGAGTACCTGATGCTTTCAATTATTGATTTGATATGGAAAAGTCTATACGTTTTATTCGTGAATTAAACAATCAACTTTTTCGAGAAGGAATCTATTCTGACAGGTCTAGGAAGACATACATTTAGAAACTCATATTTCTTGGAATTTCTAACATGAAGACTTTTAGTTTCGTCGATCGCGTTTCATGTGCTAACATTACGAGCAAATGATGATTCTTTTGCAAAAAGCTTCGACTAGGAACTCACAGAAAGTAACATTGTGCACCATCTAGCTGTGATTTCGCTGTTTTTATTCAATAATGATATGATATCTTTACAATTGCTCTGTTCGATCTATTCTTATTTGAAATAATTAGCTATTTAACACAGCTGAAAAGCGTCTAAATTCGAAAAAGAATGCTACTACAGAAAGAAAGATAAGATGAACTAAAACAATCGATTTTTATATTAGACATTCTATCTGAGATTTCTTAATATTTAAATGTTATGGCGAGTTGCATGATGCTAGTAATCGGCAAGACCTTGGCAACAGAACTGAATCTTTTCTGATATTCTTTTTATGAAAGCATGAATCTCATACTACTGGCTATTGGAATTCAATGAGAGTTAGTTAAAGCTAGTTCAAAAAAGTGGACTCAAAATCTCAAGGTCAAAAATGTTTAATTTAGATCGGCATCAACTACTCAAAACTAGCTAACTTTTGGTGAACATAATAAATTCATTTAACATAATACGAAGCTTTTATTCTAGGACGAGTAATTGAGTTAGCTAATATTTGAAGCTCGGATTTGGAGAACGAATGAAAATTTGTCAGTAGGGTATTTCCATGGGATCTCAACTAAAAAATCCACAAATATTTTTGAATTGCATGAAACTTTCAGGATTTGTAGACGATATTGAACTATTAAAATCTCCAAGACCAGTTTTCTTTTTTAACTCCACTAATAAATAGGGACTTATCGAGTATGACATTTTCTATGATTTTTATATATTATCACGAAAATTGGAATCTTATTGAAAATGATCGTACACAGGAATCTTTCAAATTGAATACATATAGTATTAATTATTATATATATTCATATTCTGATATTTCCTGATCTTGGCTACATTTAGAGTACAAAATATTGTGGTTTTGTAAACATTTCGGCAATATTATCCTTTCATGTATGTAACGTATTGGCTGAATTATAGTACACATTGTTGTGCTTAAAAAAATGTTCGTAAAAATTGAATTTATGAGCATAGCCAAATATAGGGTTTTGTAGAGAATCGATTGCTCTACAAGATACACTAGATCAGAGCTCTCACTTTTTTGATCTGACAAAATTCGAAACAGAGAAAGATGAAAAAACCACGTTTTTCAATATTATAAAAGAAAATATGTCGGTTTTAGCAGTAATAAATGTACTTTTTGTTCTTCTTAAAAGTTTTTCTAACATTATTAATTCAAACTTTCGCATACTTTTCTACAAATTTATATTTATCTGATACAATATTTTAATTACAATTCGATATAACTTGGAGCAAATATGGAAATATCTTATTCCACGTAAGCCACGACTAGATCTGCCCAATCAAGTCGTTGTCAGATTTTTCTCAATTTAAGACATTATTGTCGAGGAAAGAGTTTTATGGATTTTGACGCAAGCTATTTTTAAAAATATTGAATCCTCGATTTTTGATGGATGTTTTATGAAAAGTCCTAAAAACCTACAGTTCGACCAATGGAAGTGTGAAGGGTACCGTATCTCAAGAACGGCTCAACCGATAGAGCTAAAATTTTTAGTGGATATACATGTCCATAAACGCTGGGGCGAGTAAAAATTTCAGGGCTCTATCTAATTCCAGTTACAAGTCTAACTCTAATCACAAGTTATGAAGTACAAAAGTTGCTTTAAATGTGGAGTGTTGTCCATATTGGATGCGTCACAAAAAGTTAAGAACTCCATCTTTTAAGGTGAAAATTTTATCCGTAGTAGAATTTATAGAGATATATGCCTAAGAAAAATTTCAGTTCAATCGCTTGAGCTGTTCTTGAGATATGGTACCTCCCAGACTCCCATTGGTCGAACTGTAGGTTTTTAGGACATTTCGTAAAACATCCATCAAAAATCGAGGGTTCAATATTTTTGAAGATGGCTTGCGTCAAAATCCATAAAACTCTTCCCTCGATATCGACAATAATATCTTAAATTGAGAAAAATCTGACGAACACTTGATTGAGCAGGTCCGATCGTGGTTTAAGTGAAATGAGTAATATGCAAAATTCAATTATAAGGTTTAAAATTAAGGAAAAAACATCCAGGATATTTTTCTTAGGCCAGCATATACAAGTCTACTATTTGAGATATGCACCTAACTCGAGTAGGTGTAGTCGGTGTCAAATGATATGGGTCTTCGTGAGTGTTCTTAGAACCAGTTCGCCGAGCTCAACCTACTGATGGTATCAGTTTCTAATACGGGGATATTCGTGGATTTTTACATTTTTACAAATATCCTTAAAAAATGATTATCGTTGTTAATAATTGAATTTTACATTTAGAGGTCTCTTGCATATATTCTTCTTGAAAAAATATCGAGCACATAGTTTCACAGATTTCGTGGAAGAAAGTTCTCTCTTTACAGCCCAAATGAACTTTATACTTCAATTTGTATTAATACTTTTGTTTAAATAAGTATAAAAATAGAGACACCACCGATTACATCATCGAATATAGTTAAAGAAATATGTATATGTATATTTGGCATCTTAAGTGTTTTTCTGTGTGAAATTAGAACTTTCCATATACATTATAATAACTGATCTTTCTTTTAATATAATTGAAATAGGGTAAACTATTGAAATATCAATGAATTATTAAGTAGAATATTTAGATGGCTATTTCTGATGTATATAAGATCTCAATTCTTCCAGTTCACTTATATTTTAGCACCAAATGTTCTATGATGTTTAGGATCAAAATAATTAATTTATGACTCAATAAATTTCAAGTAACTATAATAGTTGATATTTAATGTAAATACCAAAAAATAGTTCAAATCTAGCTGTTCACAACTTTATCGAATAAAACCAGTGTTTCTAGTGGAAATCTAAAATAAAATGTACAGTACATTCTGTTTTAAATTAGCAACATGTACAGAATGTACAATGTTGAAATTTCTTAAAACAAAAAGAACTGGAAAAAAATGTTCATTTCTGGGTGTGGGTGCGTGATGTTTCCTTCATCCCCGTCCACACCCACGCCCCCGCCACATCCCATACTCCACAACCTAGCTGAGATGACTTGGACACAAGTTTCCTACCAATGCCTTTTTGGCAGTATTTCTATAATGTGGTTCGTCGAAAACATTGAGGACAGACAATTTTGACACATGTTCTTTTACCATTTTGTAGCCCTCGACAAGCTATATCTACCCTCAAAAATTGGCTCTTGCGTAACGAAGTCGAGTTCTGGTGAGAGGAACAAAAGTTATCCAAAGAGTGAGGAGTAGTATAGTATTGAAGGGAGAAGCATGAATGTTGTGGAAGAATCGGTGAATCGAGTAGTGGTCAAATAGGGCCCATTTGGATATTAATCGTCTCCCATTCTTATTTAAACACTTGAAAGCCGCACACCGATGAAGAAAGGTGCTGAAATATGGATTACTCTTTCATCGTCCATGTCTTAGACAGCAGACATACTTTCATTTTATCCTTGAAATTCAAGCAAACAAACCTTGTTCATATAAAACACAAATGAAACCATTCCATGAAAAGAGATGAAAGTGAATAGCACCATCCATCATTCGCCGACTACCCAACGATCTTCTAAATTGCAAAAATTGAAGAAGCTAATAAAAATTGTTCCAGAGTCAACCAGAAAGGTAGTCTCATCACAAAAGAAAAAGGCTCCATTTTCAATATTCAAATATTTTTCTAAGAATAACAGACTTTAAGTGTAGAGAACTAATGAATCTTTTTGTTTTAAATGTTTGCAATACTTTCATGAGCATAGTTGCCCATTTTATGCTCAACTCGTTTTAACAAGAAGTTGCTTTTCAGAGCTTTTAGATGATATCAGATGAACCATGAAGTTCTGCAATTGGAGTAGTAGCAACAAGTTCATTACTGTCTGCTCTATGCGTTTCACACGGTAGTGTCAGAATTTGGAACAGGAAAAAATTGTGCGGAGCACTTTTTGTTTTTTTCTTCTAAGAAAGAAATAGAAAAATCAAGCGAATACCAACTGAATGAGATATTAATCGATGTGTCGTAATGAGACGAATCGATCGATATGTTTCTCATTCGAATAAGAGATCGTTTCCATTATAATATTGCGTTTCTTCTAAGAAGAATTGTCATTTTACAGTGTAATGAGAGAATTAGGATAAAAAAAGACATAGCGTGACAACATTAGTAGCGCAGCAAAAATCGAACCTGCTCTCATTGTTACGGTTACTACAAAGCAGACACAAATTACTTTTAGATCTAATACAAACTGATCGACGCAGAAATGTTTCCTCTATGCCGGAAAATAAAAATTAACTTTGTATATCGTGGGCAATTTGAATCATAGATTAAATACTGAGCAGTCAAATTTTTTGTGTTAAAATTAGGATCACCGCCCTGTATTAATAAATAATCGTTTCAAACTACCTATCTATCATTAAAAAAACAATTAAAAATCATACGCTCTATATAAATCTTAATTAGAAAACGAATCAAATGAAATTTTAGTCCGTTTTAATTTATTTTTTATTAAATTCAACTAATATTTATTATTGTTGATTAAAATCACTCGAAACAAAATCTGTTCATCATTAACTGGTACTTGTACTTCTTTTTATTTTTATCAAATTCAAATCAGAATATAGTTAATCCAGTCTGGATTTTTTAAGATCAAACATGTTGATGATAAATGATCCTTTAACCATTGAATAAGATCATCGTTGTTTTGCATTTTTTGCCGTCAGGATATTTATTATTGTCACTCTTGACTAGTGCTAGTCCTTTAAAGTACTTTTCATCTTCACATCGAACATTTAATGAGCGGAGATTAATCATTTTTTTGTCAAAATAAGTAATGCTTTCACGATTATTAATCATGATAGAAAGAACTTCACATTGACTACCTAATAATGAATGACTCATTCTAATACATTCTTCTTTATTGAAATAATGATTATAGTCTCGTAAATCGAGTTGACGAACTGACGGATTTGCGTATCGGAATAATAACATTTATGAATGTAACAATGCATCTTGAATGATGCATAATCAACAAAGACGAGGTGCTCGATTAAGTAAAGCTTTTAATTGAGATTGGAAAGTATCAATATAGGATACCACTGTAAGTAAATACAGACGATTTAAACTTGGAACAATGGACCAAAATTGCTCATTGATAGGAAGTTTTATCCAAAGATATTCAATATTAGGCAAACAAATGTACGAAGGAATTGGTTGATCAACGAATGTTTCATTTACAATGCTAGTCATGTTATTATAAAACTTTTGTTGATTGTTCTGTGGATCAGTCGATTTTAATGAACCAAAAAGTACACTATCGTAGTTATAAAATATTTTAGATATAGTGTAAAGATAAATAGTTTTCTTTTGGATGATACATCGAACAAACCATTGATGTTCATCAATCCAAAATGAACTTCGGAATGAATTAATCAATTCATCGACTCGTTCTTCTATATTTTGATCAAAAGAAAGTGTCTCTTCCATTCCGAGTTGAAATATTTTGAGCTTGGGCAAGTAGTTACGAATGATTTGTTCTCATTGATGACCATCGATGAAGTTAAACCATAAACTAACGTTCAAACGACGTAAATTAGGTGTGTTTTGCAATAAAGAAATCCTTTTCGAGATGACGAATCGATGAGAACAACTGATGTGCAATTCAATTAATGTTGGAAATGGAGATTATATATAACTATTATTATTATTATCGAATTCGACATTTATCGAAAGACTTTTAAGACGATTTGTATATTCAAACAATCGGTTTATCTCATTCAATTTGAGTGTACTTCCATATATAGATAGACGTTCGAGAGATGAGGAGATATTTTTTGGCATAAGAAAAAACTTTTTTCCTTTGATATCAATATTAAAATTATAGTGAACAAGTTTGGAAAAACTCCAAATGCTGTTGACAATTAATTGAAAATCAGCTTGATTACCTTCCAAAGAACAATTGTAGAAGTTTAAATGAGTTTGATTATAAAGATGATGACATTCATCTGTAATTTTTACTAGTATTTTATATGACCGAACACCGTTAATTGAAAGTGATCGCAATTGAATAAATTTATTAAATGATAAAAGATAAGAATCAAATAGATTAATTTGTTTTGGAGTTTCTTCATGCTCAGAAAGACTAACGAGGGAACCTTTTCAACTGTCCAATCGCTTTTGAGTTCGAACTCA